TGCACCCCCTCCTACTCCCTGCCAGTGCACAATTTTTTGGATTTTCCCTCCTTTTTCTCATTGGCCTTCAGTGCAGCAGGACCAACTTTCAACCACACCGCAATTTAGGATATAAATGTTTCCTTTAAATTGGGGTCGGAGACTGGTTCTTACCCAGGTTGAGAGAAGTAGAAAAAGAAAAGGTTAGCGGAGAACCATAAAACAAAGTATGTTAACTTTGTTACACATAAGGCTAAAGGAAATTTTTTTTCTTGGGTTTAATAAGGAAATACAGGAATGAAATCTGTAATTAGTTTTGGACACTAATCTTCAGTCCAAAATTGTGCTAAGAAAAACATTGATTAAAGGAAAAATGTAGCCAGCAATGACTCTATTTAAAATTTGAGCTCTGCAGACATGCATCAGAACTGCTCACCCAAAATGTTTTCTCTGCACTGAAGTTGTGGTCTTTTTGGTTTTGGTTTTTGTTTTAAATGAAGCAGGAGTGACTTGAAATGGAGGTATGGCTACAAAAGCCTGACCCTAACAGGAAAAGTGAATAAAGGGATTCCCTGAGCAAAGTAATATGGTATTAACTTGTACAGTATTGTCAACTTCAAGAGATCTAAAATCATGAGTTGGACCCCTAAAAATCATGAGATTGGCCCAAAAATCATGACTTAAAAAAAGATTATATTGTTTTTTAATTCAGTCTCTTAATGTTTGAATTCCCTCTGCCCTCCCAAGGGGGTAGCATGTAACAATTAGTGTTGCCCTCTCTCCAACTTGCGTTGTATACGATTATTTTGACTCCTGCTGCAGGAGCTCTCAACCCCACATCTGCCCACCACCTGCCCAGCAATTATTCCTGTTCCCCAGTTCCCCGTCAGTTCTCTCCCCATCCAGTGCCCTCAGTTCAGACCCACTCAGTTCACTTCCCCAGCCCCCCATCATCACCACATCAACAGTTCAGCCACCCTCCCCCATCAACCCCACCACAATCAGTCCATCCTCCCAGCACTCATCCATCTGCTCAGAACTCACCATCAGTATGCGCCCTCTACCCCATCAGCCCTCACGCTCCTCACTTCACCGCCCCCCCTGCACCCTTCTGGCATAGTTCAGTCCCTCTAGTCTCATCTCTGCATCTTTTCACTCTCCCCATGCTTTGGGGTGGGAGGGATAGCAGTTGGTCCCCTCACCCACTTCGCAGGCTGCCATGGGAACTACCACCTACAGCTAACAATGGACTTCTCAGCCGCCAGCGGCTGACAGCAGGAGATCACCCAGCCCGGTGAAAATTGTGAAAATTTGAGAGTTCAATCACAAGATCATGGGCAAGACCTATTTTTCTTTAGAAATCACGTTTCTCATGATAAACTTGTGAGAGTTGGCTTGTCCATTCAACTTGTGAGCTTCAGTTTCTGGATTGTGCTGAAAAAGCCAGAGGAAGAATGCTTGTTGTTTTTGTAGGTTTAAAGTAAAACTGGTCTTGTTTCAAATGAACGACTGACTCTGACATGACTTGCCAAGCCCAAACCATCACACCGATTTCCATAAGACAAACTCTGCCCTGGTAATGAGAGGCTGAAATACCAACAATTTTAGTGCACCTGTAGAGGTATTTAAGCACCTCATGGCATTTTCCTAATCACCTGGGAGCCTCATTCCAACTGATTTCAGTGGGAGTCAGATAACTAGCCACTTCTGCTAGGCACAAAACTGCATCTTTAGATGCCCAAGTACCTATAAAATTCTGGCTCAGGTTTTTGCCCCCTACTTCCACTAGCACTGAATTTGCAATCTGATTTAAGTGATCTTTGAAGCCTGCATTTTTCTTTTGCACAGAATCTTTCTCTTGACTATATTAAGGGTTTTTTCTTTCCACCAAACAAAGATGGTGTAAAAACTATGTTCAGGTTTGTACCTGGTGACATAAAAAGAGAAAAATAATCCTAAAATGGAAGAAGTTTGGACATCTTAGAACAATCCTTATCTGGAATCATTGGGTTTAGCTTGCAACATTTCAGAAGTCAAACAAAGCTGGGGAAGATTTATTACTTTACAGATATGTTTTGCCCCTTCTCTTTGTTTACACCAGAGCAATTGTGCAATACGGTCTGTGACTGCCAGTGGGGGCCTGTCCATTACCGGTCCCCAAGCCCCGCCCCTTCTCACTATTGTCAGTCTCTCTCTCCATCCCATGGCACCCTGTCCCCTGAGGATGCAACTTAGAGCATCACTGCAGAGGGAGGGGCAGTGCCATGTGGCAACAGTGATCATGTCCCCTTCCCCAGCTCTTTCCACAGTGGCAGGAGCTGGGCAAGTACAATCGCTCTGATGAGCTCTCCTTCGCTGCAGCAGCCGCAGTGGTGTGTGACTAGTTCAATGCTAGCCTCCTCACCGCCTGCGCAGGGGACAGGCTGCCATGGGGAGGAGAGGATGGGGTGGTGGTAGGACTTGGAGGCTAGTAACAAGCAGGCTCCTCCCCTCACGCTGGGAGTCCCAAGCAGATTGTGCAGTCGCTCTAGCTGGGAGTTTGAGACCCCTGGTTTACACTTTTATTAAACCATCCGTAAGGTCGAAATCCACATCTAAACTTCCCCAACGTTTTTGGGGTATTCTGATCTAGCAATTTGGTATGGACCCTGCTCTATATTTTAACAATTCTAGGACCCATTCCTACGAAAATATATGTTTTTATTGCTATTTTTTATTTTAACGTATTTTAATTCTAAATAATGCATAATAGTAATGGGGCTAGAGAGAAGAGTTATGTTTATACATACATTTCTAAATACCAAAGTGCCAGTGCCCATTCAGAAATTTGATTGTGTTTAGTGCCATAGTGCTCAAAAACCACATAATTACAGCATGCTAATACTTTTTTCACACGTTTGATCCCTTAGAGACTATATATATTAAAAACATTGTGACATTTGTTTTCTGATTTTATAGTGCAGTATGTTCTGGAAATCAACAACAATGGCCCCATCACAACGGGAGCTCAAGCTACAATTCATGCCAGATTGAGTATGAAGAATTATGATGTTGTGTTCATGAGTGACCTAAAATCCTATTATTTTAACTGGATTTTCACCCCTCTGACTTTGATTGAGAAATCAGAACAGCGATTTAACTCCATGATTACAGTGACTGGTGAATTTCCTGGGGATTTTCCCATTTTTGTCTGGGTAACTGAGACACGCTGCTGGTTATGTCAGCCCATCGCCAAAGGCTTCACTGTGCTTCATGTTACAGGTAAAGTATCTTTAGAGCAGCTTGTTCAAGTCTTCACACATTCCACTGAGACAATCGCTGAGCATTCTGGGATTCAGAATAGTGTTAGGTACAGCCATGTTGAGCCTGACTTCTACTAGCTGGGTTCTAAAATAGTTTATTTGCTCAGTGGACAGAGAGATTTTTTGCCATGAGCTGTGGTCTCCATACAAACTTGTAGACTACCTAAGACAGAAAAATCAGTAAAATGCTTGCTTACAAAAAAAAAAAATCCTCTGTGGCCACTGCTAGAAACCTGATGTTTGAGCAGTTGTACTTCACCTTTTTCTGCTAGTTGTGTCTCACAAAAGCTAGAGCAAGTCTGGTATGAATCAGGCCAGTTTTATTCTGTGAAATCTAGAATCCTGAAGACACAGATTGTTGCTATCAGTGTTACATTAGCTCATCATATCTAGTTCCAAACTTCAGCTGACTTCCAGCAGTGGCAGTCTACAAGTTTTCCTTTTTATCAGTCCCATCCAAGTTCTACACAAGACATGACTGAAGCAGAAATAACATGAGGCCTTTGGTATGGTAGAGCTATTATACCTTGTATTAAAATATCAATAGCTGGAGCATACTTAAAAGTCACAAGTGGGACTATGTAGAATGTAGCGGTTCTATTATTGTTATTGTTTGTGCTATTGTAACACCCCCATTATGCAAAGCATTGTAAAGCATTGTACAATCAGAATACACGACTGTTTAACCTCCAAACACACAGGCTACGTCTACACTGGCCCCTTTTCCGGAAGGGGCATGTTAATTTCAGCTATCGTAGTAGGGAAATCCGCGGGGGATTTAAATATCCCCTGCGGCATTTAAATAAAAATGTCCGCTGCTTTTTTCCGGCTTTTAGAAAAGCCGGAAAAGAGCGTCTACACTGGCCCCGATCATCCGGAAAAAGCGCCCCCGCGGATTTCCCTACTACGATAGCTGAAATTAACATGCCCCTTCCGGAAAAGGGGCCAGTGTAGACGAGCCCAAAAAGTTTACCTGTTCAACAGATCTGGTCCTATGGATATTTAGAGTTACGTGATCTGATTCTACCAACCAGTGGCCCTATCCTCAGGATCATTGAGTGGTCTGTGAAAAGATTTTCTCCACCAATACATAACCGATTCTCGTCCATCAGGATCATAGTACTAGCCACAGGTAACATCTGCAAATTTGAGGGAGGATTAATGAGGTCATTCTTTGAGAACCATCTGACACAGAGTTTGAGTACAAGATCTTTTGGGCCTCTCCTGCCGCTTACTGCCAAAGTGGAGCCTCTCTGCTTAATTCTTTCAAACTCCAGGCTCCATTTCCATTGGCTTATGTTTTCAAGGCCATTTTCACAAGCAAAAGGATGAGAAACTTTTAAGCCTAAGAAAGCTCATATTTTCCTTTACCTTCCTAGTTTCCCCAGACTCCAGATTTGCAGGGCTCAAAGAAAAGCTCTAGGGTCCAAAAATAAGTCTGTATTACATTTATCTCCAGATAGTTCTGCACAGTCAGTTTTAGGGTGCATCTAGACAGCACCCCTCTGTTGGAATAAGCTACACAATTTGTATTGTGCAAATTGTGTAGTTTATGCCAAGCCTAAATCGAAAGAGCTTATCTTGAAATTTGGCACTGTCAACATAGCGCCAAATTTCAAAATAAGGCACTATTCCAACAAATCCTTTAACCCTTGTGGAATGAGGTTTATAGGGATGCCGAAATAGCACACCCACTATTTCGGGAAATAGTGGGCACTTCTAAAGATGCAGCATTGCTATTTCGGGATATTTCCAGTTTGTTTGCAGATCAACAGAATTGTTAAGATAGCAGCAGAGATAGATTAGGGGGTTGTGGGCTCTGGAACAGAGCAAGCAGGAGTGGGACCCCCACTCCTTGGCAGGTGCACCAGGGGGGTTCAGGTTGGAACCCAGGGGTGCCCCAATTGGCCAAGGCTCCATTGGCCCAGTGGCTAGTCTGCCTCTAGATAGCAGAATCTATATTGCTGGTGGTAATCTGTCTAATTGATCTAGTTATCTATAATGAATTTATCCCTTGGAAGCTGATCATCAACCTCATACATAATCTAGAGAAATCCCAAACCAGTTTCTTACTTTGCAGGTTGCACTCACAATGCTGGCCATTAGGGATATGGCTACATTGCAATTAAAAACTTGTGGCTGGCCCATGCCAGCTGACTCCAGCTCCCAGGGCTGCTTAATGGCATTGTAGACATTTGGAGTATGCTGGAACCCAATCTGTGGGATCCTGTGACGTGGGAGTAGGGTTAGGGCCAGTATTTCCTCTAATTTTTCCCACCCCTAAGCTGGATGAATTTAGTTATGTGTACCAATGTGGAGCTGATGTGCGACATCCCCTTCATATTGGTGGAGCCAAGGGGCTCTAAGTATGGGAGGGGAGCTCAGGCCTGGGTTGAGAATTGGAGTACAGAAGAGTGAGGGCTCTAGCTGGGGTGTCGGGCTCTGGGGTGGGCGGGGGTTCAGGGGCTCTGGCATGAGGCAGAGAGTTGGGTGCAAAGGCTCTGTCCGGGGAGGCTTGGGGAGGCCCAAGGATGAGAGGCTCAGGGCTGGAACAGAGGGTTAGGGTCCTAGTGTGTGAGGTCTCTGGCCGGGGCCTGCGGGCTCTGGGGTGGAGTCAGTTTGGGGTAAAGGAGAGTGCTTCAGGCTACTGTGAGGGGAGGGAACTCCCCCATCTCTCTTGCAGCAGCACCTGTGCTGGGAGAGAAAGGCACCTCTCCCCACCATGGCAGCTCTGGGGCTGGGGCTGCATGATAGGTGCCTCTCCCCCAGCAGGTGCCAGCCAGGGCTGAGTTGGAGCTGGGAGAGGGCCACCATGGCCATTGCAAATCCTGGAGGCTGGGACTGGGCTGGACCATTTGGGCCATGGCAGGCAGGAGGTTGGGCTAGAGCAGGGGCGGATATAGGGCAGGGCGAGTGGGGCGGCCGCCCCAGGCCCCACACTTCAAGAAGCCCCGCGCATGCCCCGTGGCAAAGGAGGGCCCAGCGAAATTGTGCTGCCCTGGGCCCCGCAAAATGGTCATCTGCCCCTGGGCTAGAGTAGCAGTGGGACAGCTGGCTGGTTCTTGCCTTTGGCAGATTCCTTCAGCACCTGTGCAGTGCTAACTAGGCAGCTGTGCAGTCACACAGCCATGCAGCTTCAGGGACTTAGGTTAGGATTGCCAGCCCTCCAGGACTGGCTTGCAGTCTCCAGGAATTATAAATTAATCCTTAATTAAGGAGCATGGCCTGTGATGAAATCTCCAGGCATATAGCCAACCAAAACTGGCAACCCTGCGAGGGTCTCAGAGCTTGGGCTACAGTCTGAGCCCAAATGTCACATTGTAATTAAATAGCTTTGCAAGCTTGAGCCTCACGGGCCTGAGCCACCTAGCACAGGCCAGCTGAAGGCTTTTAATTGCAATATACACCTCCTTAGGCCATCTTTCTGCCTGTAAACCAAGCAAATATGAGCAGATCATCACTGAGAGATAATACATTTTTGAACTTCATTATGCTGTTTGCATAGAATCACTTTACACTGTATAAGGGTAGTTTAAATCCTATAATTGTGTATTGCAGTCAGCCATTTGCAGTAATTAAAATATTTTCATACGCTTTGTTTTAGACAGTGTGTATAGGTTAGATTAATGGAGGGGGTGTCAGAGTTCCTGAAGTGAAATCACTGCCCCATCGAAGTTGATGGCAAAACTTTTCTGGACTTAAATGGGGCCAAGATTTCCCCCCTTGGATTCTATTTCAGGCTGTGACACCTTGTGTAAATCATTTAATCTGTCTTCCTAAATTTGCCAATCCGTGAAATGGGTAAAAAATGCTTTTTCACCTTCACAGGGGTGTTGAGAGATTAAAATAATTAATGAGGCTTTGCAATTTGTAGGTAATGCTATGAAAGTGAGAGAATATCTCATTATTCTTCCTTTATCATCATTTCCTGCAGAGTCAATAGTAGGGAATCTTACCATGACACAAATAGAAGACAGCATGTATGTGGAACCAGATTCTAATTCTGCCACAGACACTCTGACCCAGATTTCTTTCTTTCTTCATGATCCGAGTAATTACTTCAAGTTGTCATCATTCATCTACAACTGGGATTTTGGAGATGGGTATGTCTAGTTGATTTATTTATGCAAAGGCTCTGGATGCTTCTGGTAGGGATTTGTAACATACGCATACACTCACAGTCTTCAGGTAGTCTAGAGGCTCACAAACATTTAAAAATGTAAGCTTTGTCCTAGAGTCTGTCTCCAACCACGTTTGATTATGATACTAAAATGCTGATGTGTGCTAAGCTCCCCTAAAATGCAGAGGTGTTGAGGTCCAGATTTTAGGTTAAAAGTGCATGTTTCATTAGAGAGAGTATGCTAGTGCAAACACATAGAGCTGAATAAATAATTCATAATAAATAATATATTTATTGACTAGAGCATGTTTCTCTGCTTATAAAATCTCCATGAGCAGACTGCAATTTTCTCAGATGTATTTTTAAATAAATTATTAGAATAATCTATTGGATTCTTTTTCTTGGTTGTTATTGAATGGTGAGTAGATACTACAATGACTAGCCATCTCTTCTCTGTTTGGAAGAGTACATAAGCACATGTAGCACAAATGTTTGGATGTGTACGTTTCAGATTCGACTTCTGTAAATAGTGGCCCATATTCTTTTATGGAAGAATTTAGTTTGCCTGTGGCACCCCTGCTTTAATAAAAGAATAAAAGAAATATTAGCTCACTGCCACTATCTAATTCTGTCCCAAGATGATATTTAGGGACTATTGTGTTGTTGTTTTCCTCAAAAAAATTAAAGTAAGAAAAACATACAAGGGAGTCTAATTTTGATCTTCCTTGAACCATGAACTTCTGGGAGTTAGTCCTGATTTACACTGGTGTAACAAGATGACTCAAGCCTTCATTGATCTAAAATGTCTGATGCAAGTCGTTTCTAAACAGAGGTGATTCTAAATCTTTTCATGCTACCCACAGAACTCAACAAGTAACCAAAGAACCAGTTGTCTACTATCATTATTCTACTATGGGGCATTGCAAGGTACATCTCAAAGTTGTAGCTGAGTGGCAGCAAATTGAGAGCGCCACACAAGAAAGAAAGATTGTGCAGAAAACGGGAGATTTCACCACCAAGTTGGAGTTGCTGGGTAATTAAAAATTGCTTTGGATGCACAAAACAGAACTTTATGCATTGATGCACAACCTGTAGTATAATGTAGTTTCTAAAACATAATAAACAAACAGAATATGGAGATCTTTTAAAGAGCATTGTATCAGACATATCTATGGCTTATTGACAGAGCAAGTCAATTTTTTTAAAAAGACCTTTTCATTATCAAAATAAAGATTTAAAAAAAACCTTTCAATTAAAACTGTCATTTTCTAAATGTTCATGTTTAATTAAATTAGTCATGTCTCGAATCTAATTTTTTTCATAACTGTTATCAAAAATTTTCCAGGTTTCAGAAACCTGGTTTTTAGTAAATTAAAATTTTCAATTAAAACTTTTGTGGGAAAAAACCCTCAGAATACAAAATTGAAGCTCTATAAAATATTTTGAATTTTTAAACATTATTTTGAGACTTGTTTAATGGCTCTATTTATTATTGCACACCGATTAGCTCTTTTATATTTGCTTTGGCAGCTAGAAGCCATCACAATGGACAATTAATAAATTCATGAAATTTGGCTTGGCAGAATTCAATTTTTATTTTTGATAATGTCAGCAGATAATATCTGTGTTTAATTTTAATCTTTATGTTGGAAGATTTACATTCTCACAAGTGCAGAAAATTATTGGGGGGAGGTTCAGAGAATGGTGGGGTCAAACCATAATTAATCTTTATGTTGGAAGATTTACATTCTCACAAGTGCAGAAAATTATTGGGGGAAGGTTCAGAGAATGGTGGGGTCAAACCATAATTATTTAATGAAAGCAGCCATTGAAGAAAATGTAATGTTTTTAAAGATAGCTGACAAAACATTGGTTGACCTGAAGTTACTCTATTTATTAGCAAATATATATATATATATATATATATATTTTTGCTGTGACTAAAATAAGCCATCATAGAAGAGTGCAGAAAATTAAACTTTTACTGGAAAACAAGAAATTATTTTTGTTTTTCTTTAAACTGCAGTTTCATGACTTTGTCTCTATTCTTTCCAGATGCTGTTAAAAGTATAAATGTCATAGGCTCCAGAGAAACTCACATAATGGAAAACTTAAATTTATCTCTACATATCAACGGCAGGTAAGTAACATATAAATATCCTTTGCTGTAAAACCCTGTGGCATTTTTCTTCAGATTTCCTGAGTGTGCACGCGACGGAACTGCTCCTTAAAAAGATTTATTTTCTATGAACAAAATATTGCAAATTACTTGTCCCTGACTCCAAAAATCTCTCATACTGCAAGAGGTTGCAGAATGCAGAATATTAATAAACAGTACTTCTCTTTAGAGCTTCCTACAGTGCTTTACAACATAATATAAACACTACTGAAAATCAAAGAGGAAGGAGAGAAGGAAAAGTGCTGTAAAAAGGAAGGAAAATAAGGGGCTTTTAAAACTGTGTTCTGGACTTTTCTTTCTCGTTGATCCGTATCACTAAGGAAACCTGCATGCTACATGTAGGATACATTAACCAATAGGCCTACCAAGGCTGACACTAGGGATGAGAAGTGTAGGTTTCAATTTCAGCCAGAAAACAGCAGCCACAAGGTGAACCAGGCAAGAGGAGTCTGAGGCCTTGTCTTCACTTACAGGGAAATTGATGCTGTGGAGATCTATCTCCCAGGGTTGATTTAGCAGGTGTAGTAAGGCCGCACTAAATTAACCACTGACCGTGCTCCCATTTACTCTGGTACTCCATTGGATTGCAAGAAGTAAAGAGTCGATGGGAGAGTTTCTCCCATCAACCCCTTGCAGTGGGGACACCATGGTAAGCTGAACTCAGGTACGTCGACTCTATCTACATTATTCACATACCTGGAGTTGTGAACCGTAGTTTGACTTTGTCCCCTCGTGTAGACCTGGCTTGAGTGGCAGCAAATCCAGCAGGGGAGGAGTGAAAAGGTTCACTGCATAGGAAAAAACTGGAGAATAGTGAAGAAGTTAACCCTAGACCATTGGTTCCAGGGAGAAGAGATTACAGTGCAAAGGTTGGTCTTGAGCCTCTTCCCAGTACACCATGTAGTGCATTTACTGGTGGCTTGGGACTAATGGCTCAGGGCTATAAGAACAGGAGAGCAGCAACACAAGTTTAGCTTTGCAATTGCTCTATCAAGCTGTGGGACTGTGGCTAAGGGGAAACAGCTGAGCAAGCCCAGGCCTGCAGGGCTATCAGAAGCAGCTGTGGGCCTCAGAGAAGGAAGGCTATATAAGGTGGAGGAAGGGAAGCCAGAGGGGGTGGAAGGAGCTAGGGTGTGGCTCAGTGGAGAGCACACGCACACGCTCTGCACAGGTGCAGTCTGGACTGTAAACTTTGTAAATAGAAGGTGGTGGGAAAATATGATAAAAGCACGGGTGACTGCACCAGAAGGCTTGTTGACTGATTTGTGGACCAGCCGGTATACCAGACCAAGGAGCCTGAGCAGGGACTCTGCTACAGACTGAGTGGAAGCCATCTTTTCAGATGGTAAAGGAGTTTTAAAATGTTTCGTTGGAACACTCTGGATTCCTGCATCACTAGAGGGAGTTATTTGTACAAATACAGCCTTAAAATCTATCCCTCCGGAACGAGTCTTCCTCCAAGTGAGTGAGGCTTGCCAGGTCTGCCTGTGAGAGCTGGCTGGGTTGATACAGCCTCTGTCTGTGCATTGCAAATGGAGAGCAGTAGCACTAGTGGAGGTATACCTAAGGCTCCTGCCAGATGCCCAAGCTTTGTGACACCAGGACATGGCTGGTAATTTGCCTGCACATAAGTCAGTCTCCGTTAGGCCAATGTGCCACTCATAGGCTTATGCCAGAAGTGGGGACCCTAAAGCCAACCACAGCTTGTGTGGATCTGGCCCCTGAGGCTCAGGGCTAGATGCTCTAGCCCACTGTGGGGAGTGTCTTTTTCCTTCTCAGTGGGGTGGCCACATCAGGTTTTGGGTTTTTTGTTTTGTTGGTTTTTTTGTTTGTTTTGTTTGTTTCTCACTTGTCAGTGGACCCTGACCTAAAAAAGGTTCCCTACTCCTGGCTTATCCATTTGCAGGGATAGGGCCTAGACTGATGTAAATTAACATAAACTTAATAAAAAAATGTGTCAGGAAAATGTTAGACCCCTGAAGCAGCTTTTAGAATAAACAATCCCTCTACAGTGTAAACTCTAACCAGTCAAATTAAAATCTGGCCCAAGGGATGGAATTTGTAGGTCAGAAGATCGGATAGTTGACTAGACTTTAACATCCCGGCTGTGTCTAGACTGGCATGATTTTCTGCAAATGCTTTTAACGGAAAGGTTTTAACGAAAAGCACTTTTTGCAGAAAAGCATCCGTGCCAATCTAGATGCAGTTTTGCGCAAGAAAGCCCTGAGCACCATTTTCGCCATCGGGGCTTTTTTGCACAAAATAATACCACGTTGTCTACACTGGCCCTCTTGCACAAAAGCATTTGCGCAAGAGGGCTTTTGCCCGAACGGGAGCAGCACAGTATTTCTGCAAGGACACTGACAATCTTACATGAGATCGTCAGTGTTCTTGTGGAAATTCAAACGACCAATGTAGACAGCTGGCAAGTTTTTTTGCGGAAAAACTTGCCAGTCTAGACACAGCCAAAGTGAGCCAAGCACGAACGGACTTCTTCCCTTAGCAACGAATATGCTACATGGCTGGAGGAAGGGGTGCTGATAAACTTAGCCTTTCTTGACCTTTTTTATCACCAGAATCAAAGTCCAGAGAGCAGCCGATGAGCCTTTATAGAACCACGTGGAGCAAAGGTCTGAAAAATGTAAATAAGGAGTATAAGCAAAACACAGTAAAACACTATATGGCCCAAACCTGGTAGATATAATGGCGTTCCTTGATTTATTTCTAGCAAATCAAGAGCATTCTTAAATTGCTTTATGATGAAGCTGTGATTTACAAAATCAAACTTTATTTGCCTTTTGCCAAGCCTTTAATCCAAATAGTTGTGTTGAGCTCATCTGTTGTTCTTTTATAAGTCTTTTTATGAGCAGAGAACATACATGAAAATCCTAGCTGTGTCACAGAAACACAGACATTGGCCTCTCTCATTGTCCAAGGAACAAGAAAAATAACATTTTCTGATCTCTGGGAAAAAAGTCCATTTCTGTTTGGTCTACGTGGGGAATCGATGAAAAATAGTCTACGTCTAGACTGCAAGCCCCTTTCGAAGGAGGCTTTTTTGCAAATATCTTTCGAAAAAGCCTCTTTCAAGAGTGTCTAGACTACAACCAGTACTTTCAAAAAAGCAAGCCACTTTTTCGAAAGAGAGCACCCAGGCAGTCTGGATTCTCTCTTTTGAAAAAGCACAGTTTGCATTATATAGCGACTTTTTTCGTTAAAAGTATTTCCGCAAAATCATGCCAGTCTAGATACAGCCACAGAGTCTAAACACTAAACCCATCCTTACAAGTTTAATGCCTATCTCAAACAATACTAACACATAGCTGAGCTGGGCTGATCTCCATCTATGAATTTGTCAGTGCTTGCTGAAACCTACAGACTTGGGAAAAGCTGGCACCTGGTTTACCAACCGCAGAAAAACAATACCACCTGATTTAGGTGATCAGTGCCACAGCACAAAAGACAAATAGTCAATGTTTGCCAAAACCCATACACTGAAAGTTATTCCATCAGTCCTCACCCCCAGAAAAGTTTTGGCATAAGAATGATTCATGCTATTGCAGAAATGAAGATTCATTAGTGTGCTAACAGAACCGGGGAAAAGTCATTGGAAGTGTTAGTTAGAACATTCTCAAATGGTGTGAATCAGTGTAGTTCCACTGAAGTCAAGGGTGCTGATTGGTGCTCCCTGAGTTCCACTGATTGGTGCTCACTGAGACTCCAGTCTGTTATTCCCAATAAAAATAGGCTGAGACATTTTAATTGTAAGTATTGAATTGTGACATGATCTGTGTGTACTGTTGTATTTGTCTAGGCTAGGAGTCGGCAACCTACAAGAGCAGAGCCTCATGCGGCTCTTTGGCTTACCCTTTGTGGGCAGTTGATTGCAATCTCTGGGCCACTAAAAGTCCTCCAGCAGAGCAGGCTCAGGCAGGCTACATGCCTGCTGTGGCTCCACACCACTCCTGGAAGCAGCTGGCAGCTGGTACATAGCTGCGTGCCCCTGGCAGGGGAGGAGACACCCCAGCCTCTCAGCTCCCATGGGCGGGGAACTGGCCAGTGGGAGCTGCAGGGGTAGTGCTTACAGGTGCAGGCATGGAGACCCACTGCATCCCTCAAGGGGCATACAGAGATGTGCCAGGAACTAGCCTCTTCTGGGAGCACTTTGGGGCCATAGCAGGCAGGCAGCCTTCCCTGGCTATGTCTACACTCTCAGCTTCTTGCGCCAGAAATATGCAAATGAGGCTAAGCGTGGAATATCGCCGAGCCTCATTTACATACCTAATGAGCTGCCATTTTTGCAGAAGAGGCTCTTGCGCCAGAAGGAGATGTCTACACTGTCCCTTCATGCGCAAAAATCCCCTCTTGCGCAGTGCCGGTATTCCTGTAAATAATTGGCGTAATGGCATTGCGCAAGAGTATCAGAGGGGTAGCCCTGTTAGCCTCAATCTGCAAAAGCGTTGAGGAGTCCTGTGGCACCTTATAGACTAACCGAAGTGTTGGAGCATAAGCTTTCAGATGCATGCATCTGACGAAGTGGGTCTTTGACCACGAAAGCTTATGCTCCAACACTTTGTTTAGTCTATACGGTGCCACAGGACTCCTTGCCGCTATTGCGCAAGAAGGTTATTCTTGAACAAGAAGGGGCAGTGTAGACAGCTCCTTCTGGTGCAAGAGCCTCTTCTGCAAAATGGCGGCTCATTAGGTATGCAAATGAGGCTCAGCGATAGTCCACGCTTAGCCTCATTTGCATATTTCTGGCGCAAGAAGCCGCGAGTGTAGACATAGCCCCTGTGTCTCCCACCGAGAGCTTGCATCCCTCACTCAGCAACCCTACCCGCTGCCCCAGGCCCAGCCAGTGCACACTCTACCGTTGAGAATGTGACACTGATTGGGATAAAAATTCATCAAATGTCCAGTGCAGCGCAACTATATGACCCCAGCACCCAGATTCCTTCCCAGAGCTTGCACCCCTCACTCCTCCACCCCAGCTCCCTGGCCCAGGCTCAGCCCAGAGCCCCCTCCAACATGCCCTACTCTTTGGCCTCAACCCAGAGTCTATGCACTCTGATGAGTAGCAATAACATTATTATGTTCAGTTATTATTAGTTGTTTATTATCTGCTGTATACCTGCTATCTTTGTGTATGTGTACAAGTAGCTTTGCGTCAGATGCAGTTATTGAAATATTTAGGTCTAAAACAAAAAAATGGCTCCCCTTCTTTGAAAGGCTGTCAACCCTTGGTTTAGGAAATCAGAAACAATTATTCGGATTCTGTACGTGGAACTGTCTGCACCACTAGCCTCTCAGGCATTTGGCTGTTATGTGTATATAAAATATCCATGGCTACATACATGTTATGAAAAAGTGTAAATAGATAAATGTGTGTACTTCAGTTGTAGCATTAGTTCATTCTAGCATTGGTTCAGTGCAGTATTATTACTTACACTAACCATCAATGTTTTCAGAGTTCCTGTACTATGTGATTCATGCATTCCTATTTTAAATAATTTTTACAAGCCTCTTCTGATTTTTTTCCCCTTTCAGCCCTCCACTCACTTTATGCTGGCTCATAAAGGCTGAATGTATTCCACTTGAAGGGGAGAAGTGCCATCTAGTGGCAATTAATGGCTCGTCTTACAATTTGAACCATACCTTTCATAATGCAGGAGAATACTGTCTCAGCGTGAGAGTGGAGAATGATGTGAACATGTTGCAGATGTACCGTGAGATTAAAGTATGGTCAACAGGTGAGACTTCACTTGAGATGTGTAGGAACTGCCATTTTGGCTCAGACTAGATGTTTCATTGACAGTAGCCACTACCAACAGCTTCAGAAGAAACGACAACAACAAGAAACCTCTTAGTGGAAAATTATAGAAACATGAGCCTAGAGATGATTTTTTCCTAATCTTGAGCAGCTAGAAGTTGGCTTCAGCCCTGACACATGAAGGTTTTATGTGCTCATTTTTTGTTTAAATCTCCTCACTCATATAACTCTGGAAGTTCTACTCCTTTTAAAAATCCTATTAAGTCTAAATGGTATCTTGCAGCAGTAAGTTCCAGAGAATAACTGACTTGTGTAAAAATGCATATTAATCTGTTTTAAATTTCCTGACTTTAAATTTCACATTTTCTCTTGCTCATTCATTGCGAGAGACTAAACAGAGCAAACGTACACATTTTCCTGTGCCCTCATAGTAACCTCCTCCCTAAAATAAGCAGTTCCAGTCTTCTCAGTCTCTTCCTTGATATGGAAGTCTAAATTGTAATTATTCCCATTACTAATTTCTGCCCCACCAAATTCCTCCCCTCATCGCCCCATCAATCTCTCTGTTATGCTTTTTTTGTTTGTTTTTTGTTTGTTTGTTTTGTTTTGTTTTGTTTTAAGAAAAGGCAATGAGAGTTGAAACCAGTTTTCAAAGGTCCATCAGGGGCCAGCACTGAGCAAAGAGTTAGTGCTAACAGGGGAAGGGAACATCGCTAGGACAGCCTTTTGAAGCAGTGCTGAAAGAATGCCTCAAAATTCTCAGAAGTAGTAAGAGAGCATGGCTTATAAGATCTTGCCCGTACACTGGTGACTGCAAAGCCAATCCTTCCCCCATCTCCTGAGCTTATGAATGTGTCCCTGGCTGCACCTCTATCCTGTTCACCTCAGGAGCATGCACACAAACATATAGGGTACGTCAACACTGTGGAGCTAATTTGGGATATTGGAAGTATCCCAAAATAGCTATTCCATGTCTATTGAAGCAGCCCGTTATTTCATGTCTCAGCAACCCTCATTCCACGAGGGTAAAGGGGCATTTCGGAATAGTGAGTTATTTTGAAATTTGGCGAGGTGTAGACAGCACCAAATTATGAAATAAGCTATTTCAAAATACATTGGAAAGAAGCTACGCAATTTACATAGTGCAAATTTGTATTTTATTTCGAGCTAAGAGTGCTGTGTAGATGCACCCTTGGGAGCTATATAGGAGCACGTTGTCTTTCTACAGACCATGCTAGGGGAGAAGGAAAGGATCTTTACAATCTCTCCTTCCTCCTCCCCTTCAGCCCTCCCCGTTCTCTCATAAGAGTTAGCCCCATTCTAGTCCTCGGTCATTAGCCTGAGATAGCCAGCATAAGTGCCAGCTCTAATGATGACAGTATCTATGGACTAGACCTGTGACTAAAACCATCACTTCCTTTTACGTAAGCTGCTGTAAATTTAGGCTGGATTTGAACCAGTAGCCTAGAAGTTATAGATGCTGAATCCCATGATCAGTTCAGAATTCAGGCAGCCCTGTTAAGAAGGTTTACCAGCCAGGCATGAGGTTTGTTCTGATCTAGTCTGCTTTACTTCATGCACCAGGAAACAGAATTGGTAGAAATTAATATATTTGCAAAGCAGGTTTGCTGGATGGAATTTCTTCTTGCATTCGCATGTGGATTTTCTGATTGTATTGTGTATTCTCTTTTCTCTGTTCCACCACTTCTCCGGGCCCAATGCTCTGCACACATGGAGCTGAGGAGAAACCAAAGGGACTCGATTCCACTTTTCTGTCTCCTCTCCTACACTCCTGGGACCAGCAAAGGACTGGTTCAACTCTGGACAGAACTTAGAGCAGATTTGAGGCTGCTTTACATTACCCCAGCTTATGGCTGCCCTCCCGCAACACATGCCCAATACAGCTCCTTGCTCTGGGAGCATCAGAAGACACAAGTGACCTGAAAAATCCTCAGCTGCCTACTTAGAGCTGCTTCAAGGATCCTTTGTACCTCAGTGTAGTCTTAAAGTATATTTAAAATGCTACATGGCGGTGGAGGAAAGAGGAAGTACATTTTACAAAGTGAAGGCTGATTTATAAGAATTGAAAATGGTCTCTAGCATACACCACAGTTATTCAAGTACAGTTGTTGCAGTCACACAGTCAACCTATGGAACTCCTTGCCAGAGGATGTGGCGAAGGCTAGGACTTTAACAGGGTTCAAAAAAGAGCTAGATAGATTCGTGGAGGTTAGGTCTATCAATGACTATTAGCCAGGATGGGTAGGAATGGTGTCCCTAGCCTCTGTTTGCCTGGAAATGGGTGACAATTACATGAGGATTACCTGTTCTGTTCCCTTTCTCTGGGGCATCTGGTATTGCCCACTGTTGGCAGACAGGATACTGGGCTAGATGGACCATTGGTCTGACCCAGTATGGCTGTTCTTATGTTCTTACATCTATGCAGTTTGCTTTTAAAAAAAAGTGTTTGGGGGAGACTAATTCATGCCTGAGGGCATGGTCTCTTTCACTCTACACAGTCTTAAAATTCCTTCACCTAGAATGTGCAGACTTCCCCTGGCCTGATCATAATGCATTATACACTAGGCACATTCCCTTGTGCTCTTTCCTCAGGTATTCACCCGGCTTTCTTCGCCTTGCCATGTATTGCTTTGATTTCAGTGATGCTGGGATTTGTTATATACATGACCCTCCGAAGCACCTCACAGCAGAAGGATCTTGTCGAGGTATTGGGGTAGTGTTGCTATGAACTGGGCAAATAATTCAGAACAAGTCACGGGATGAATTTCTACCTATGCTTTGTTTGTTGTGTTTCTTTTTTTAACATGCTTTCAGATTGCCCACAAGCAGAGGGTGATTTTCTCAGTTATATTTGAAATTACTCAACAAATAGTTTCACCAAATTATTCTTGATCTGTAGTTCATTCCACAGCAGGTTGTTGCATGAATTCATTGAAACCATGCCAAGTGACTTAAGTGACCACTTACACAGCTCAAATTTCTGTGTCTTTAGCATGAGGTTAACTCATTGGCTCAGGTTGCCATGCAAATTCTAATGGAAGATTAATTTAAAATAAGAATTTCCATTAATATTTTCCAGTATTTTCTTGTGCTGAGGGAGGGGATTGACTGGTGGGAGAAGGTGCAGGAGTAGACGGGAGTTTGTAGGATATATCCTGAGTGACCGTGTGTGGATGAATAGATGGAAAGAAGGATAGTGTGATAGTGAGAAGGGAGGCTGGATAGTGAAATAGGACAGGAAGTTTGGTAGAATGGTACTAAGTAATCATATGAGCTTGCTTGTAACCTTCATTCACCCATCATCCTTTTTTCTTTACCTAGTAAAGTTTTTACTTGTTGTGTTCTGTTTGTAATTAATATGCACGCTCCTACAGTCAGGGACCATATCTTCCTAGATATTTAGAAAGCACATTTCAGACAGTTCCACAGTATAATAAGAGGCCTGTTAATAGAAAAACTGACTCCATCTCCATTTCTGATTTTTCTTTCACTTGCTAGAGTAGCCTAGCTTTGCAAGTGACTTCCCCCTCTTTGATTTTGCTTTCCAGGTTGCTGACTTTGATTTTTCTCCTCTGTCTGACAAAAATCTCTCGCCTTCTGATTCTGAGTCAAGTTGTGGTCAAATATGCTGCAGATCCTGTTTCCTTCAGCCACCTCAAGAATATTGGGAGACTATCAGGGAGAGTCACAGACTCCTTCATCCTTTATACAATCCAGTCAAAACTTACACAGTGTGAAGAACACAGCTTCATTTGGTTACCTTAACTGCTGACCTTAACTTTTCTCTTATGATGAGCTAAAAGCCAAGTGCTGCATGGATGGTTTATTTTTGCTGGTACATCGAGAGATTAACTACTTATTAGGCCCAATGCTAAAGAGTACTTCATCATGTAATCTAAAGAGCCTGAATCCCAATAAAAGTGGCTTTGTATATTTGAATTACTGTAGCGAGCACTGCCTAATGATTTAAATGTAGTATGTTATTTTTATGAGGGATTATGTTAGGTGCAAATGTTTGCCAAATTCACTCCTCTGTGTAATTTATTTGACCTTCCCCCATCCACTCCATCTCAATGTGTCTTGTTTAAAAAATGCAAATGCTTGAGACAAAAAAAAAAAAGCTTTTCTCTTCTTCCACAGCTGCAAAGGGCCACCAACAAGGGGGGGAGGGGAATGAGGCAGTTCCGGGCCTAGCGATTCAAAGGGTCCTGGAGCTCTTGGTTGCCACTGCTGCTACTATGGGAAGATTAATTTAAAATAAGAATTTCCATTAATATTTTCCAGTATTTTCTTGTGCTGAGGGAGGGGATTGACTGGTGGGAGAAGGTGCAGGAGTAGACGGGAGTTTGTAGGATATATCCTGAGTGACCGTGTGTGGATGAATAGATGGAAAGAAGGATAGTGTGATAGTGAGAAGGGAGGCTGGATAGTGAAATAGGACAGGAAGTTTGGTAGAATGGTACTAAGTAATCATATGAGCTTGCTTGTAACCTTCATTCACCCATCATCCTTTTTTCTTTACCTAGTAAAGTTTTTACTTGTTGTGTTCTGTTTGTAATTAATATGCACGCTCCTACAGTCAGGGACCATATCTTCCTAGATATTTAGAAAGCACATTTCAGACAGTTCCACAGTATAATAAGAGGCCTGTTAATAGAAAAACTGACTCCATCTCCATTTCTGATTTTTCTTTCACTTGCTAGAGTAGCCTAGCTTTGCAAGTGACTTCCCCCTCTTTGATTTTGCTTTCCAGGTTGCTGACTTTGATTTTTCTCCTCTGTCTGACAAAAATCTCTCGCCTTCTGATTCTGAGTCAAGTTGTGGTCAAATATGCTGCAGATCCTGTTTCCTTCAGCCACCTCAAGAATATTGGGAGACTATCAGGGAGAGTCACAGACTCCTTCATCCTTTATACAATCCAGTCAAAACTTACACAGTGTGAAGAACACAGCTTCATTTGGTTACCTTAACTGCTGACCTTAACTTTTCTCTTATGATGAGCTAAAAGCCAAGTGCTGCATGGATGGTTTATTTTTGCTGGTACATCGAGAGATTAACTACTTATTAGGCCCAATGCTAAAGAGTACTTCATCATGTAATCTAAAGAGCCTGAATCCCAATAAAAGTGGCTTTGTATATTTGAATTACTGTAGCGAGCACTGCCTAATGATTTAAATGTAGTATGTTATTTTTATGAGGGATTATGTTAGGTGCAAATGTTTGCCAAATTCACTCCTCTGTGTAATTTATTTGACCTTCCCCCATCCACTCCATCTCAATGTGTCTTGTTTAAAAAATGCAAATGCTTGAGACAAAAAAAAAAAAGCTTTTCTCTTCTTCCACAGCTGCAAAGGGCCACCAACAAGGGGGGGAGGGGAATGAGGCAGTTCCGGGCCTAGCGATTCAAAGGGTCCTGGAGCTCTTGGTTGCCACTGCTGCTACTATGGCAGCAGCTGGAGCCTCAGGCCTTTTAGATTGCCACCAGAGCACTGCGCTATGCACTCCAGGCAGCACTAAGTGCTAAGGGGAAGAGGTGTGTGCTGTGCCCCGGGCAGCTCTGAGGGCTGTTCAGGGGTCCGCGCAGCACACTCTGGGCAGCGCTCAGAGCTGGCTGTCCTGGCCCCGGCCCCGCCCCTTCCAGGAGCACATCTTGCCCAGGGGCCCAGGGAGGCTGTCAGCGCCTCTGCTGCTATACAACATTCAGCTTACCAGGAAACTGAACTAGGTGGAATGAGGTTACTGTCAAGCATATTAGTACTTAAAAGAAAACCTATTTGTTCTCCAGATTGGAAACATGCTTACTCTAACACTTTTCACAATGAACCCGACTCCCTAATGATTGTGTTGCTAACATGAAAAGGATCTCAATTTTAGCAAACCATACTCATAAGGAATTTGATAGATGACATTCCATGGGTGGAAATCTGCAGATACTAATAACAGATACAGGGCATATGTGAGAATATTACTTGCATGTTCCTGATACCTTGTTGATGGCGCAGTGTAGTACTATGGTCCTCTAGCCCAGGAGTGCCATCTTTCAGATGAGGCAGTCACATATGGTCCTTCTTACCCATTTTTAATCTCTACCTAGATTGTCACTGAAGTTCCCACAAACAATAGGCTAAAATCAGTGCTGGACCCTCAGTCAGAGCAGGTTCTGCCATTCAAAGTGGTAGGAACTCACTGCTTAGTGCATATCAGCTACTTCATTTACCACCGTCCAATTCACTGCCCTACCAGCACTGGACTTACTATTGTACTAGAACCCTGACATCCTTTGAAAGATTTTACATAAAATCAAATTCTGTTCCACTTCTTTCCTTCCATTCAGTACTGATATCTTGCCACCTGCTCTCTGTTTTATATGTATTTCATTATACCGAGTATGGGAAATACATGTATAATCATTAACAGGACAGCGATCCAGAATTAGGGTTCCTAGGTCCTCTTCTTGTGTCTGACACCAGTTTTCTGTGTTTCTTGAGGCAAGTTAGTTCACCTCTCAACTCTTCAGTATCCCCACTGGTAGTTGGTCTCATATCTAACACAGAGCAGATGGGTTATGATGCTAACCGAATTCATATTTATAAAGGGAGTTGGGATCCTCTGAGGTGACTACCCTCAGAGTGATCTAATCAATCAAAAACAACGAGGAGTCCTATGGCACCTTTTAGACTAATAGATTTTTGTGGGTTTAACCTTTTATAGGTAAAAACCACTTTGTCAGATGCATGGACGAAGCGTTTTTTACCCACGAAAACTTATGCCCAAATAAATCTGTTAGTCTATAAGGTGACACAGGCAGGACTCCTCATTGTTTTTGCAAATGCAGATTAACATGGCTACTCCTCTGACTCTAGTAAATCAAGTTCTGTTAGTAGGTACCTTCCCAAAAGGCACCCTTCCCCCGCCCTTTTTTTTTTTTTTTTTTGTAAGAAAGGCTTCCATGGTGCATTTACAAGTGAACTATGGACCCTTTGAATTAGAAAAGGCATCCTTTGTGTTCCCAAGGTGTGCTAATGTCAAAAACTTATCTTCAGCGGACAAGGTGGCTTTACTTACTGTGTGACGCAGTCATTGTTCTCAAGCACTGTTGAGATAATATCAATTTGAAAAATTGCCAGAAGGCAGAGGACTAGTTCCTGGCTGTCAGCATACCCCACAAAAGGTCATACAATGCCCTGGAAAGGAGGCATTTGATTTGCATCACTGAGCTACCAGACAGGTCTCTTCCCCTCAGTGGCCTCACCGAACTGTGCAGCCCTCTGCAATTGCTCCGTGAGGTGGGAAGTTCAGATCATGAAGAGAGCTGGTGATGTTTGATGCTCATGTGTGACCCTTTCATACCTAATGCATTGTGGGACATGCTAACCTAGGTGAGGGGAGTGGGTACAGGGAGCTTCTCTCTTCCTCATACTCCCATCACACTCCAACTAGAGGTGCCCAAAATTTGCCTGCAGGTAACAGCAGAGCAAGGGTGGTCAAATATTGGAATAAATTGCCAAGGGAGGTGGTGGAATCTCCCTCTCTGGAGATATTTAAGAACAGGTTAGATAGACATCTGTCAGGGATGGTGTAGACGGAGCTTGGTCCTGCCTTGAGGGCGGGGGGCTGGACTCGATGACCTCTCGAGGTCCCGTCTAGTCCTATGATTCTATGATTCTATGAACACAAGATGCCCTAGAGAGAGACATGGGGGTACGGTGAAGATACAGGTAGGACTTTGCTAGAGTCGGACTACTTACATCTGTATAGTCCATCCTCCATTCACCCTGAGAGAACTCTGAAGATATGTGCCTGTTGGCACCACTGCTTCCACTGTGCACCTCCTCACTCTCCCTGGTATACCACAGTGCCTCAGCAGTGGTTTGAATCCACAGGAAAGTGACCAGGCCAAACACTGGATGTGGAATCTATCCATAAAGGGAAGTGGGAACTGGGATACTCTTGAGTTGAAAAGGAATAAGTAAAAGGCTAGGGTGAAGGACTGGCCTATGCCTAAAAGAGATCGATTACTGAGGCTATGTCTACATTATGGAGTTATCCCGGAAAAACTCTGCCGCTTCCAGAGAACACATCTGCTCTTCAGAAATTTTTTTTGGAAGAGCAGACGCGCTCTTTTGAAAGCCCTATATTCCTCATTTTATGAGGAATAAGAGCTCTTCTGAAAGAGGAGGTTTTTCCGACATTTGGTCCCGGGTAGACAGGCCAAATGTCAGAAAAGCTTCTTCCTAAAAAAGAATCAGAAAAAGGTACTCAAATTGTGGCTTGCAATTTGCGTATCTTTTTCTGAAAAAAAAACCCCAAGTGTAGACATAGCCTGAGAGAAACAGGAAATGGTATCAAGAAAAAAAAATTCAGAAAAGAAAGCAAGTTCAAGAAAATAATCTGCTCTCATCTTCTGTAGAACAATGCAAGAAAGGTGAGAAAGAAACCAGATAATTTCAAAGGTTAAATACAAAAGGGCAGGAAAGTGGAAGTCAATATTGAAAAATAATGGGAAAGGCTAATTCCTTAGAATAGATTGGAGAAAATAGAAGGCATTGGAGTAACAGAGATAGCTCTTGCAGGAAGTTTGTGTAGGGAGCTATCATTATTTATTGAAAGTACAGATAATTAATAGGCTTAGTTTGTACTAACACCCCTCCCCGTCAATCTAAGCTATACAACTTCAGCTACGCAAATAGCATAGCTGAAGTCAACGTACTTAACATGGTGTCTTCTATGTGGTAAGGTTGGCAGAGGCTGTTCTCACGTTGACTCAGCCTACTCTTCTCATCCTGGTGGAGCACTAGAGTTGATGGGAGAGCACTCAAAGGTCAATTTATTGCATCTAAGCAGACACATCAATTGCCATGGATCGATCACTGCATTGTCGATCCACCATATAGTGAAGACAAAAGTAAGTTGGTGTCAAGAAATCCATATATAAGGATTCTCCTTTTGTAACACCA